TCACTAGTGAGCACCAGATGAATTTGGTTTTTGTGATAGGGATTTTGTTTGATTGCATGGAGGATTTGATCATGAGCTGACATCAGTTAGAGAACCACTGGAAAACCTGGGAGTACTGGACAGCTGTTTCGTCCTAGTTTGGGACTCCTCAGCAGTACGCACCCACAGGGATTCGAACCCAGGACCTTCTGGTTACAAGGCGAGCTCGTAGACCATTGAGCCACTGGGACCCGATCCAATGGTCCTTGAATTCTAACTTCTGCCAGTTCACGACATAGCGCGACCACTTCGCAATGTCTTCTTCGATGGGTTACTGCCTCATCTTCAACCTGCTGTACCCTACTGGTCACGGCTTCCCACTAGAACCCCAGGTTAACTGCCTGAATAGGGCCAGTCACTAGTGAGCACCAGATGAATTTTTTTTAAGTATTGGTTTGTTGTAGGGATTTTGTTTGATTGCATGGAGGATTTGATCATGAGCTGACATCAGTTAGAGAACCACTGGAAAACCTGGGAGTACTGGACAGCTGTTTCGTCCTAGTTTGGGACTCCTCAGCAGTACGCACCCACCGGGATTCGAACCCAGGACCTTCTGGTTACAAGGCGAGCTCGTAGACCATTGAGCCACTGGGACCCGATCCAATGGTCCTTGAATTCTAACTTCTGCCAGTTCACGACATAGCGCGACCACTTCGCAATGTCTTCTTCGATGGGTTACTGCCTCATCTTCAACCTGCTGTACCCTACTGGTCACGGCTTCCCACTAGAACCCCAGGTTAACTGCCTGAATAGGGCCAGTCACTAGTGAGCACCAGATGAATTTTTTTTAAGTATTGCTTTGTTGTAGGGATTTTGTTTGATTGCATGGAGGATTTGATCATGAGCTGACATCAGTTAGAGAACCACTGGAAAACCTGGGAGTACTGGACAGCTGTTTCGTCCTAGTTTGGGACTCCTCAGCAGTACGCACCCACCGGGATTCGAACCCAGGACCTTCTGGTTACGAGGCGAGCTCGTAGACCATTGAGCCACTGGGACCCGATCCAATGGTCCTTGAATTCTAACTTCTGCCAGTTCACGACATAGCGCGACCACTTCGCAATGTCTTCTTATAAATAAATAAATAAATAAATAAATTTATTCTCATGATACAGTACATGAGGGACGCCAGTTTACAGGCATCATCAAATTGTTACAGAAATAGGATCATATTATTCAGTCACAATTTACAGTCGATAGCAAAATATGTTTAACATGTACACTGGAGATTATACGTACACTTGATAAATGTTAATCCGAATAGTATAAAACATCCTTTTCACTTATGTACAATCATTTCTGTGCATAGTTGGAAAAATCCGCTAGATTTTCAGTGAGTGCAAAACATCAGGAAATACAGAAGTATTGTCTTCGCATTAACAAAAAAACCAGGTCTTTGGTGGATGGGTTATAAGTGCCTGGGAAAAAAATAAAGCTTGAAGTCAGTTTTCATACATAATTTTCTTGTGTACAGAATCCTTGATTTATAGTTCATTGATGTGTTATTTTGAAATCAGAGAAATGTTTATTTCATTGAAATAAGTAAATAGATGGATTGATTCTCATGGTACAGTACATGAGGGACGCCAGTTTACAGGCATCATCAAATTGTTACAGAAATAGGATCATATTATTCAGTCACAATTTACAGTCGATAGCAAAATATGTTTAACATGTACACTGGAGATTATACGTACACTTGATAAATGTTAATCCGAATAGTATAAAACATCCTTTTCACTTATGTACAATCATTTCTGTGCATAGTTGGAAAAATCCGCTAGATTTTCAGTGAGTGCAACACATCAGGAAATACAGAAGTATTGTCTTCGCATTAACAAAAAAACCAGGTCTTTGGTGGATGGGTTATAAGTGCCTGGGAAAAAAATAAAGCTTGAAGTCAATTTTCATGCATTACTTTGTGGTGTGCAGAATCCTTGAATTATAGTTCATTGTTGTGTTATTTTGAAATCAGTGATATGTTTATCTCATTTGATGTGCAATGTCATTGTTGGGAGTAAAATACATAAGCTTTAGACGCATTAATTAATGGATTTTTACTGCTTGTGGATATTTACTTCTCGTGAGGAAGGTTTTTGAATTTTAGTTGTTCCGACAGGAGTTGTGGATATTGACTGCTCAGCAACATTATGGATATAAGTTCATCACATTATCTCAGGAATGTTGGGTTGTAGTTGGTGATGCATATATGATGTCCGACGAGCGTACATCTGTCCATGTGATGTTGTGGTGAGTTATAACCTTTTTCATGTTGTCAGTTTATGTCCATTTTATTCCACTTATTGTGTTGGGTAGAAGTTTTACAAACGAAACTTCTTGTCTGTTTGAGGGTAAGTATCTTAATCGTTAATGTTTTATCTAAAATTATAAATATAGGCAAAAACAGCAGGTGTAGTATTTGAACTTATACATTAAATGGACCTATAATTTCGGAGGCTCTCAGATAGGAACTAAGACTACTGTCGTTTGCAAACTCGTGTAGTTTGTCGTTAAGCACTTTTTTGAAGGAAGCCAATGTACCTGCTTGACGCATTTCCATTGGTAGTTTATTCCATATCTGTGCATACCTAATCAAATAAAACTTTTGCCTGGTAGCTGTTTTACATTGTTCAATAGCTACTGTACCCTTAGTGTGTCTTAGTTTGTAGACACTGTCATCTGAAAGTCGAATGCCATTAGTAGAGGTAAAAACTAAGTGGTTTAGAAGCTTATAGTAAAGTGTTAAGTTTAGTCTCAGGCGTCTTAGCCATAGTGTTTCTAATCCTAGGATGTCACATCTAGTGGAGTAGTTCGCACCATTTTCGGTTCCGAGTAATTTTGACGTGAAGTACCTCTGCACTCCCTCGACTTTCAATTTGTCCTCTATGCGTATACTACTATACATGAATGAACAGTAATCAAATAAAGGACGCACACAAACCTTGTACAACAGAATTCTGGACTCATTTCTGTAAAAGTTCCTGAGTAGAAAGCCGATAAGTCTGCGTGACTTTGACACTTGTTTGGAGATATGTTCAGAAAATGATAAGTCATGTGAGTATTTCAGTCCTAGGTCCAATACAGATTCCAGTCGTAAAAGTGCATGGCCTTGAATTGTCAGGTCAAGTTCTAAATTGTTGCAACCTATGCAGAGCCAGCCACATTTGTCGACATTAAACTGGAGTTGCCAGGTGTCACACCATCTGTCCATTTTTTCTAATTCTTGCTGTATGGCGTTTAATGTTATTCCGAGATCTGTGTTCTTGCATTTATAGGTCACTTTTAAGTCATCTGCATATAGTATTGGTTTACCAACACTAAAGCATTCACAGATACTGTTTATATATATTATGAATAGGAGTGGGCCTAATACACTTCCCTGGATTACACCACTACTTACAGGTTTTGGCCTTGAGATTATCGAGCCAACTTTTGTTATCTGATTCCTGTCACGCAGAAATGATTTTATCCAGCTCAGGAGAGGGTCACATATCCCTAGTGAGCATAACCTGCTGACTAGCAGATTATGGGGGACTCTATCGAAGGCTTTTGTTATATCGAAGTATAGCACAATTACTAGTTCTCTGTTGTCCCTGCTTCGTGTAACTTCATTGAAAAAGTCTATGTGACAGGTCGCACATGATCTCTTTTTGAGGAATCCGTGTTGTGATGGGTTGATAAGTTCATGTTCTAGTAAGTTGTCTGACACTTGGTCTTTAACCACTTTCTCCATTATTCGTGATATTACCGGTGTTATATTAATAGGTCTATAGTTGCATGCACTGGTTTTGGCCCCTGCTTTGTGCTTAGGTAGTATGTATGTGGTTTTCCACACTTCAGGATAAGTTCCAGTTTCCAGTGACAGAGTAAATATTCTAAGTAACAAGACTACCATTTCCGTGCTACCATTTTTGTATATGACAGATGGTATGTCGTCTGTTCCAGTACTGCCATTTGACTTCAATGTCTTAATCGCTGAGTCTATATTTTGCATATTAAAATCTATTTCTCCTAATTTGTGGTTACTTTTGCAGGTCATTTGGAAATTTGGGGTCGAGTGCACTCTGGTGTCATTGCAAAACCACTCACTGAGGAGTTCACTTATTACCTGGGGATCGTTGTATATTACACCCCTATGTTCCAAGATGCTTACATTATTGTCTTTACAGCTTTTTAGACGTTTTTGCAATATCCTACAAAGTTCCTGAGTTTTGGTGTTACCCATTAGCGCTTTATTTTCCTCATGTTGTGACTTCATTTTGTGTTTCTCTTCAAGCAGTTTAAGAGTTTCATGTATTTGGTTTAACGCATTAAATTCCTTAAATACATGGTATTTCCTTTTCAATTTCTTTAGTTTTAGTCGCGTTTTCCGGTCAATAAATGGAGTTGGTGTCTTTAGGGCAGATTTTAGGGGCGCGATTGTGTCTCTTGCTGAGCCAACTGTTTTGTAGAAAATCTCAAGTGATGCTTCTAAGTTATTGTTGATGAAGTATTCTTCCCAGTCAGAACTTCTCAACAGATCGGATAGGAATTCCCAATCTGCATTCTTATAATCCCTATATTGATAGCGCACCGGGGAATTTTTAGGTGTGTATTTAGTTGTTAGTCGGAGGGGGAGCGTGCAGTACAATATGTTGTGATCACTGTTATCGAGTTTATTTCCCACCTCTATCGAGATGGGCTCTATGTTATGACAGAGGATTAAGTCAAGAGTATTTTGGTTCCTTGTAGGGAGGCGCACGCACTGCTTCCATCCTCCTATGTCTATAGCTTGTAGTAGCTCTTCATGGGTTCTTGGTCCTGTACAGGTATCCCAGTTTACTCCAGGTAAGTTGAAATCTCCACATACTACTTTGAAGTCGAAGTCCAGCGTAGCTACATGCTCTAGTATTTCTGCAATAGTTATATCAGTCATTTCAGGGCTATTGGGGGGTCTGTATATACATCCCACGAGAATTTTACTTTCGTTTGTGTGGATGCTTATCCACTTAGATTCTGGGAGTTTGTCAGTATTTGGGTTATTGAAAGTATTGGAGTTAGTGGATTTATAGGCATATATTAAGCAACCACCTCCTCTTTTGTCAACTCTATCGTTCCTATAGATGTCGTAGTTGTCTATTACCAGCTTTGTGTCAGGTATATCAGTAGTAAGCCAGGTTTCAGTCACCATTATTAGTGTTGGCCGTTCTATGTATGCCAGGCAGCGAAGCGTTGTTATTTTATTAAGGAGAGATCTAGCATTCAGGAGCATAATTGTTAGTAAACCAGAGTTATTGGAGGAGAGGTTAACATGGTTACTTGTCACTATCCCTACGTTATGTTTGGAGGGGCTCTGAGGTGAGACAGAGTCAGTGTGTGTACTATTTCCTGGATGAACTGTGCAGCGAGTGGGGCTATTGTTTGCTGCAGCCGAAAATAATCCTGTTGCATATTTTGACTATTAGCATCCATGGGTCGGCATCTGCGTTGATCTACTGGTGATATATGGTCTGCCCTGCAATTTGGGTTGTAGTTTGCTGGACCTAGGTACCCTGAGTTAAGATTACCCTGGTAGTTGTACCTCATGGGGCTTTCATAGCCATATGCATATTGGCTCACGTCACGTTTGTGAGTGAAGTTATTGAGGGGATCAAGTGCCGACCTGTTCTCATTAAGTTGATGAGGTTTAATATAGATAGTGCGAGAGTTTGGACGAGGATTTTCGTTAATATGGTGCCTATATGAGTCCCGTTTAGTGCTCCATATATCCTGAGGATCCATTCTACGTTGCATTCCCAAGTTATGTGCGTTGTTAGGCATGTTACTTCTAGTTCGGGAAGGGGTATTCCTTCTCACATGCTGCGTGACGTCTTTGGGAATGTGCTTCGTTACCCATGCTTTGTCATTTTTTAGACTGACACGCTGCTTATTAGACTTATTACGAGGGAGGTATGTCGAAGTCTGGGGTGGGACTCTGGGTTTTGTGGTCTTTTTTGCGGTTTCTACTGAGGGACTCTCTGGCTTGGATCCAGATTGAGAGTGGTCTGCCAGTAGTTTCTGGTCAGCCATAGTTTGTGCGTCTATGTCAACCTTATGTAGGTCAGCAGGTTTTCGAGATGTGCTCTCGTGCACTCTAAGATTGCACCCAGTGGCACTGCTCTTACTGAGTTTTGGGTCGCTCTTACTTGCCGTTTTTTCTCCTAACACTATACACGTGACTTGCTGTGCTTCAGTGTCCGTCGACACTTTAGCACTGATACCAGATGTATTTCTCAGTGTTGTCAACTTTGTATCGAAGGAGTTCTTGGTTGCTTGCCTTTGGTTTGGTGTTTTATCCGAGACTACTTTAATAGTCTTGAATTTAGTGGCAGTAGCCAGAAGATCTTCGGCCATCTTAAATCGTTCAGCTGTTATGTAGCTGTCGAACCTAAAGAGTATAGGACAAGGATGCTTTAGGTCTTTTTTGCTTAGGCGAATGCACTGACAAGGTGCATTCAAGAGATTAGCAGCCTTCAGCAATGAGTGCTGGACTGACTTTATGGGCTCGCTATCCGGTACATTATACACTATTGCGTTTTGTTTTGAAGCCAGCCTTCTAACAACTTCGCTGGATAGAAAGTCGATGGCGTTTTCTAACTCCTTCGCACTTTCTGAGTCAGTATGAGTCATTCTAGAGGTCATATTAAAAAGCTTTAGGATTGTAGGATCCTGCAGTTCCTTTTTCATACGTGAGACAGTTTCGGGTATACATTCTAGTGAACTTAATTTCGTTTTTAATTCATCTATCTGTAGCTGCATCTCTTTAATTACGCAGGTTAAGTAAGAGAGCTCTACTTTTTCAGACAGAACATCTTCCACCTGTATTACAGGGGTCAGAGTTATGTTCGAGTCTTTTATGTTGGGTGAACTACTAATAATATGGGGTGGTAATGTGTTATTAGACGAGCCGGTGCTATTTTCTAAATTACTGGTGTTCACACGAACACGCTTTTTAGAATTTTGAACCATCGTTATTAAAGATCAATTATTAGTAACCAATAAATGAATATAAACGAAAACACGTGCAAAAGCGTCACCTGATTCGAACGTACCGGGCGAATGTATATGGGTTACTGCCTCATCTTCAACCTGCTGTACCCTACTGGTCACGGCTTCCCACTAGAACCCCAGGTTAACTGCCTGAATAGGGCCAGTCACTAGTGAGCACCAGATGAATTTGGTTTTTAAGTATTGGTTTGTGAAGGGATTTTGTTTGATTGCATGGAGGATTTGATCATGAGCTGACATCAGTTAGAGAACCACTGGAAAACTTGGGAGTACTGGACAGCTGTTTCGTCCTAGTTTGGGACTCCTCAGCAGTACGCACCCACCGGGATTCGAACCCAGGACCTTCTGGTTACAAGGCGAGCTCGTAGACCATTGAGCCACTGGGACCCGATCCAATGGTCCTTGAATTCTAACTTCTGCCAGTTCACGACATAGCGCGACCACTTCGCAATGTCTTCTTCGATGGGTTACTGCCTCATCTTCAACCTGCTGTACCCTACTGGTCACGGCTTCCCACTAGAACCCCAGGTTAACTGCCTGAATAGGGCCAGTCACTAGTGAGCACCAGATGAATTTGTTTTTAAGTATTGGTTTGTGATAGGGATTTTGTTTGATTGCATGGAGGATTTGATCATGAGCTGACATCAGTTAGAGAACCACTGGAAAACCTGGGAGTACTGGACAGCTGTTTCGTCCTAGTTTGGGACTCCTCAGCAGTACGCACCCACCGGGATTCGAACCCAGGACCTTCTGGTTACGAGGCGAGCTCGTAGACCATTGAGCCACTGGGACCCGATCCAATGGTCCTTGAATTCTAACTTCTGCCAGTTCACGACATAGCGCGACCACTTCGCAATGTCTTCTTCGATGGGTTACTGCCTCATCTTCAACCTGCTGTACCCTACTGGTCACGGCTTCCCACTAGAACCCCAGGTTAACTGCCTGAATAGGGCCAGTCACTGGTGAGCACCAGATGAATTTTTTTTAAGTATTGGTTTGTTGTAGGGATTTTGTTTGATTGCATGGAGGATTTGATCATGAGCTGACATCAGTTAGAGAACCACTGGAAAACCTGGGAGTACTGGACAGCTGTTTCGTCCTAGTTTGGGACTCCTCAGCAGTACGCACCCACCGGGATTCGAACCCAGGACCTTCTGGTTACAAGGCGAGCTCGTAGACCATTGAGCCACTGGGACCCGATCCAATGGTCCTTGAATTCTAACTTCTGCCAGTTCACGACATAGCGCGACCACTTCGCAATGTCTTCTTCGATGGGTCACTGCCTCATCTTCAACCTGCTGTACCCTACTGGTCACGGCTTCCCACTAGAACCCCAGGTTAACTGCCTGAATAGGGCCAGTCACTAGTGAGCACCAGATGAATTTTTTTTAAGTATTGGTTTGTTGTAGGGATTTTGTTTGATTGCATGGAGGATTTGATCATGAGCTGACATCAGTTAGAGAACCACTGGAAAACCTGGGAGTACTGGACAGCTGTTTCGTCCTAGTTTGGGACTCCTCAGCAGTACGCACCCACAGGGATTCGAACCCAGGACCTTCTGGTTACAAGGCGAGCTCGTAGACCATTGAGCCACTGGGACCCGATCCAATGGTCCTTGAATTCTAACTTCTGCCAGTTCACGACATAGCGCGACCACTTCGCAATGTCTTCTTCGATGGGTTACTGCCTCATCTTCAACCTGCTGTACCCTACTGGTCACGGCTTCCCACTAGAACCCCAGGTTAACTGCCTGAATAGGGCCAGTCACTAGTGAGCACCAGATGAATTTTTTTTAAGTATTGGTTTGTTGTAGGGATTTTGTTTGATTGCATGGAGGATTTGATCATGAGCTGACATCAGTTAGAGAACCACTGGAAAACCTGGGAGTACTGGACAGCTGTTTCGTCCTAGTTTGGGACTCCTCAGCAGTACGCACCCACCGGGATTCGAACCCAGGACCTTCTGGTTACGAGGCGAGCTCGTAGACCATTGAGCCACTGGGACCCGATCCAATGGTCCTTGAATTCTAACTTCTGCCAGTTCACGACATAGCGCGACCACTTCGCAATGTCTTCTTCGATGGGTTACTGCCTCATCTTCAACCTGCTGTACCCTACTGGTCACGGCTTCCCACTAGAACCCCAGGTTAACTGCCTGAATAGGGCCAGTCACTAGTGAGCACCAGATGAATTTTTTTTAAGTATTGGTTTGTTGTAGGGATTTTGTTTGATTGCATGGAGGATTTGATCATGAGCTGACATCAGTTAGAGAACCACTGGAAAACCTGGGAGTACTGGACAGCTGTTTCGTCCTAGTTTGGGACTCCTCAGCAGTACGCACCCACCGGGATTCGAACCCAGGACCTTCTGGTTACAAGGCGAGCTCGTAGACCATTGAGCCACTGGGACCCGATCCAATGGTCCTTGAATTCTAACTTCTGCCAGTTCACGACATAGCGCGACCACTTCGCAATGTCTTCTTCGATGGGTTACTGCCTCATCTTCAACCTGCTGTACCCTACTGGTCACGGCTTCCCACTAGAACCCCAGGTTAACTGCCTGAATGGGGCCAGTCACTAGTGAGCACCAGATGAATTTTTTTTAAGTATTGGTTTGTTGTAGGGATTTTGTTTGATTGCATGGAGGATTTGATCATGAGCTGACATCAGTTAGAGAACCACTGGAAAACCTGGGAGTACTGGACAGCTGTTTCGTCCTAGTTTGGGACTCCTCAGCAGTACGCACTCACCGGGATTCGAACCCAGGACCTTCTGGTTACGAGGCGAGCTCGTAGACCATTGAGCCACTGGGACCCGATCCAATGGTCCTTGAATTCTAACTTCTGCCAGTTCACGACATAGCGCGACCACTTCGCAATGTCTTCTTCGATGGGTCACTGCCTCATCTTCAACCTGCTGTACCCTACTGGTCACGGCTTCCCACTAGAACCCCAGGTTAACTGCCTGAATAGGGCCAGTCACTAGTGAGCACCAGATGAATTTTTTTTAAGTATTGGTTTGTTGTAGGGATTTTGTTTGATTGCATGGAGGATTTGATCATGAGCTGACATCAGTTAGAGAACCACTGGAAAACCTGGGAGTACTGGACAGCTGTTTCGTCCTAGTTTGGGACTCCTCAGCAGTACGCACCCACCGGGATTCGAACCCAGGACCTTCTGGTTACGAGGCGAGCTCGTAGACCATTGAGCCACTGGGACCCGATCCAATGGTCCTTGAATTCTAACTTCTGCCAGTTCACGACATAGCGCGACCACTTCGCAATGTCTTCTTCGATGGGTTACTGCCTCATCTTCAACCTGCTGTACCCTACTGGTCACGGCTTCCCACTAGAACCCCAGGTTAACTGCCTGAATAGGGCCAGTCACTAGTGAGCACCAGATGAATTTTTTTTAAGTATTGATTTGTTGTAGGGATTTTGTTTGATTGCATGGAGGATTTGATCATGAGCTGACATCAGTTAGAGAACCACTGGAAAACCTGGGAGTACTGGACAGCTGTTTCGTCCTAGTTTGGGACTCCTCAGCAGTACGCACCCACCGGGATTCGAACCCAGGACCTTCTGGTTACGAGGCGAGCTCGTAGACCATTGAGCCACTGGGACCCGATCCAATGGTCCTTGAATTCTAACTTCTGCCAGTTCACGACATAGCGCGACCACTTCGCAATGTCTTCTTCGATGGGTTACTGCCTCATCTTCAACCTGCTGTACCCTACTGGTCACGGCTTCCCACTAGAACCCCAGGTTAACTGCCTGAATAGGGCCAGTCACTAGTGAGCACCAGATGAATTTGTTTTTAAGTATTGGTTTGTTGTAGGGATTTTGTTTGATTGCATGGAGGATTTGATCATGAGCTGACATCAGTTAGAGAACCACTGGAAAACCTGGGAGTACTGGACAGCTGTTTCGTCCTAGTTTGGGACTCCTCAGCAGTACGCACCCACCGGGATTCGAACCCAGGACCTTCTGGTTACAAGGCGAGCTCGTTGACCATTGAGCCACTGGGACCCGATCCAATGGTCCTTGAATTCTAACTTCTGCCAGTTCACGACATAGCGCGACCACTTCGCAATGTCTTCTTCGATGGGTTACTGCCTCATCTTCAACCTGCTGTACCCTACTGGTCACGGCTTCCCACTAGAACCCCAGGTTAACTGCCTGAATAGGGCCAGTCACTAGTGAGCACCAGATGAATTTTTTTTAAGTATTGGTTTGTTGTAGGGATTTTGTTTGATTGCATGGAGGATTTGATCATGAGCTGACATCAGTTAGAGAACCACTGGAAAACCTGGGAGTACTGGACAGCTGTTTCGTCCTAGTTTGGGACTCCTCAGCAGTACGCACCCACCGGGATTCGAACCCAGGACCTTCTGGTTACGAGGCGAGCTCGTAGACCATTGAGCCACTGGGACCCGATCCAATGGTCCTTGAATTCTAACTTCTGCCAGTTCACGACATAGCGCGACCACTTCGCAATGTCTTCTTCGATGGGTCACTGCCTCATCTTCAACCTGCTGTACCCTACTGGTCACGGCTTCCCACTAGAACCCCAGGTTAACTGCCTGAATAAGGCCAGTCACTAGTGAGCACCAGATGAATTTTTTTTAAGTATTGGTTTGTTGTAGGGATTTTGTTTGATTGCATGGAGGATTTGATCATGAGCTGACATCAGTTAGAGAACCACTGGAAAACCTGGGAGTACTGGACAGCTGTTTCGTCCTAGTTTGGGACTCCTCAGCAGTACGCACCCACCGGGATTCGAACCCAGGACCTTCTGGTTACAAGGCGAGCTCGTAGACCATTGAGCCACTGGGACCCGATCCAATGGTCCTTGAATTCTAACTTCTGCCAGTTCACGACATAGCGCGACCACTTCGCAATGTCTTCTTCGATGGGTTACTGCCTCATCTTCAACCTGCTGTACCCTACTGGTCACGGCTTCCCACTAGAACCCCAGGTTAACTGCCTGAATAGGGCCAGTCACTAGTGAGCACCAGATGATTTGGTTTTTAAGTATT